ATACGCAACAATATCTTGTCTTAAAACACTACTAGATCTTTATATTTGACATTAAAATAAATCAATAAATACACTAAATAACTAAGGGCCCAAAAATGTCCCTCCATTAAAGTTGTGAAAATCTCTATAATAACTAAATTGCCCAAAATGTCCCTTTGTTAAAGCTCTGAAAATCTATATAATAATGGCTTTGAAACATACTAAAGGCAAAAAAAAAATTATGGCACAAATTCATGAGTGTGCTAAGTGTTGAAGCATGTATGTAGTAAGCTTAAACAGTTCATGAAAAATGAAAATTGTTTCTCTCCGTCTAATTTTATTTGCTATATTTGGCAGTTACTTTGAATAATAAGCACATTTCTACTAGTCTTTTGTAAATGCACAAGCAATAAAAATTTCTACCTATGTTTATCTTTTTTCAGAATAAAATGTGCAAGCAAGATGCAAGACAAATTATCATGTTTGTTTTGTTTTTGTTTTTTTGAATTTCGCGCAAAGCTACAGGGTTATCTATCTGCGCTAGCTGTCCCTAATTTAGCAGTGTAAGACTAGAGGGAAGGCAGCTAGTCATCACCACCCACCGCCAACTCTTGGGCTACTCTTTTACCAACGAATAGTGGGATTGACCGTCACATTATAACGCCCCCATGGCTGAAAGGGCGAGCATGTTTGGTGGTATGCGGATTCGAACCCGCAACCCTCAGATTTTGAGTCGAGCGCCTTATCCACCTGGCCATGCCGGGCCCAAATTATCATGATTTAGTTAAACAAACAATTAATGAAATACTTGTCAGAATTTATAAAACATTATTACTGTACTACAAACAAATCATAAAAATGATATGTAAGAGACGTATATAAAGATCATAAGAATTCAATTTCTTAATCCATTAAGAAAGTTAACTCACTTTCAAGATTACAGGGTTGAGTATGTTATGTTAAAAATGATTGTGCATATGCCAGTCAGCAAGTCACATGACAACCACAACAAATATAATTTTGTGGTGGAATGACATTTCATAACTACATTTTGACATTGTTTGACAATTATAGGTAGTATGATCCTAAAAAAATGACTGCTTTAGGAAAAGATATACAACAGCTCTTTCCAATATAAAATATGCATACACTTAGATCAGAAAGGAATATGGATCAACTTAGGACACCAGGACCATCAAGAAAGAGACCCGCAACAACTTACCCCAGCTGTGGTAAGTGTTGCATTTTGTAACAGGAAAGAACCCATGAATACAAAGGCCAGTAGTAATAGCTGTCCACATACCCCAGACAACAGTACTATACATAATCAAGAAGGAGTTTCATCTGGAAAAGTGAAAAATCTCATGTATACAAAGTGCTTTCATGACACATTAGTTCGACCATTGAATATTCCAAGCAACTAGAGAAAGACAAGAGTTTTCATGCTAATCCATGTGACATACCAGTCATGTTAATGCATGCAGTGCCTATGGATTTCTGTAATGACTGGACTGTTGAAATGAATACAAGGAAACTGTTATCCTTGTATACACTAGGTGGAAAATGAAAAGCTTAAGGAAGTAAGTTGTGCTTAAACATGATAACCTTATGACAGAGCCTTTTGCAATGGAGACTATGCTGCAAGACTATTGTCAAAATACATCATCATGCCTTGTATTCTTATCCATATGATCATGCCTTGTGTGTGTGTGTGTGTGAAAATGGTGCTTAAAATGGATATAAACACATACCATTGCAGCAAAATCAAATCTACACTTGCTAATCAGACAACAGTATGGCTTCAATGAATTTCAACTAGCTAGACAATTGAAGAAAGATTCAAACCATATCATAAGCGGACAGTCTTAAATTTGAAACAAATGTTCTTGTTGATTAAATGGTAGTACTATTTAAAAACTTATACTTCCAATTACCCAGGCAGATGAAGAATTTAATTGAATATTCCATGAATCATATAGTATTATTATTTAAATCATATTTTGATATGCAAACATTAGAAGATTTCAAATCCAAATTTTTGCTTTGTAGAAAGTTGTACAATTAAGACATATGCATGTGCTTGCTAAATAAGAGAGTAGAAGAGCTGGAAACCATATCACTGTTAATCAGACAGGATGTGGGATTCAAACCCACAATCCTGCTAACCAAACAACAGCAGAATTAGGCCTTACATCTTTACTTATCAGAAAGTAGTTGAAATCAAACCCATATCATTGCTAGGAAAACAGTCGCAGAAATCTAGTTCATATGTTTACTAATCAGACAGTACATGACTGAAACCTATACATCTAACAACCAAACAACAGCATTTTCAGTAACATATCCTTTGTAATTAAATAGATAATAATTTTACATACATATATCTGCTAATTACAGAATTGTATGTTTTAAACACACACACACACACACACATCAGTTGACAAGGTAGGAGAAGAATTAAAAACATTTTTGTACAACAAACAAATCAGAATGTAGCATATAAAATATACATGTAATAATAATAATAACTTGATTTGTTAGTCATTACCAATGATAAATCGCATTCTAGTTTATAACAAGCATTTCATACAATAATCGAACAAAATACAGACAGAACCTATACCTTTTCTTATCAGTGGTACTTTTCAAGTGCATAGTTTCTCTAAGCAAATATTAATAGGTTTCAAACCAGTATGTGTACCAGACAAAGTGGCATCCAAACACACATCTTTACCAACAATTTACTTGTACTAAAAATCTTATCCCTGTTATATAATTGCTAACATACACAAAAACCATCAAAATTCAAGTATTAATGACTTTCAGGATTTAATTAGCCTTTCTGAAATCTCACTAATTTAACTGCTGCTTGAAATCACTCACAGACAACTTGAAGCAACACTGGACTATACAACAACATGCCAACTGATCAACAAAATCATAGCTGTGTAACTATACCTTGTGGCTTAGGTAAAACAATTTTTTCTGCAGTCTCAGCATGCTGAAGAGTTGATTTATCAAATTTCTCCACACCGGTTACCAGGCTCTGGTGTACTTTCTCTTGTTTTACATCTAGGTTAGTACAGAGAAAACATTAAACAAATGTTGGATAAACTTAATGTGATATATACCATGGTATATACATAAACTGTCAACTGTACATACTTAGTCTTTTCTTTGCTTCTCATACCTTGCCTACCTAATACTAAATGTGGCATTTTTTTTTTATCTACAGAATATGCTTTAGTTTCAACTCATACTAATTTTTCAAAAACACATAATGTGTTGCTGATAATTAGGTTGTTGTTTCAACATCTTTTTTTTTTAAAGAGGAATGTGTAATTATCACCAACTACTCATCAAGTGAATAATCATTCTGGGTTGAAAGTTCATTATTTGATTAATTCACTATTGCTTTAGTTACCAAAAAACCAGAAGAATAAAAATGCATAAAAGTTTTGACTTCATAAGACTTGAGAGAAATAACAACATTACTCAAAAGAACTGATAAAATGCGAATTTAAAAACATACAGGACAGTTATGTAATACTAGCTACTTCTTTATTCATTTCTAAAAAAAAATAATTAATAAACAGTTCTTCAAGTGTGTCAAGAATAGTTTCTTTTACACATATATATATATATTTCTTCCTTTTAGAGAATTTACTTATAGCCATTAATTTTACAAACATGATAGTTATGCTTATGACTAGACATTTGGCTGAAATAAAGCAGTTACATAAAAAAAAAATATTTTCTATAACTTATTTACTAGTTATTTTGGATGTAGAGTGTTTGATAACTTTAAATGCAGCTGGAAATCAGTATATCAAGGGAAGCATATTCTGCCACACAGTACTTGTTATTGTTTGCCTTGAGACACACTGGCTTTACATGTATTCTTACATCTCAAATATAAAGATGTAGTTGTGGGTTAAAAATGATCCTCTGCTTTGCCAACCCATCAAATGATGATTTAAACATCGCCATCTTAAAATTACAGAGAACAAATATTTTTGAATGTTTAGGTTCAACAATTAAGCTCATGACTAGTTGGAATCATCTTACACAGTTCATAACAAGAGCAAATGAGTTACCTTCAATTCATTTCACATTCATCGATAATTTTTACTCATCTTTCTTTAGAGCTAAGTTTTACTACACCTTTTTTTATTCATAATATATATCATAAATCTAATACAAAAATAACTGTGAACAAATTTTGGATTAATTTTCAGAATTATGAAGATTACTTTGCACTGGTAGATTAGCATATGGAAATAGAACTAACCCAAATCTCCTAAAGAAGCCAGACCTCAGGAGATGTTATTGGAATTACACATGGAAATATCATTAACAATGAAACCCCTATCCAACTGATAATTGTGTATTCTAACCAGGTTTCACTGTGTTGTGATTTATAGCATTAAGTATTTTTAATCAGATTACAATATCCATCTAATAATAGAAATATTGTTCAGATGAATGTGGTTAGCTTACAAATTGTTTTTCCGAAAAGCTGGTATCTATACAAATTTCTTTCTAATCAAGTAAGTGAAGCCAATTTCATTCTAAAACAATAACTCATTACTTCTCAGGTTCTGAAAAGTAGCTTGTTTTATAATTATCAGGCATCATCTTTTTCCCACCTTTTCAATAATAACACTTTCTGTTTAACTGACAAGTAATATGACATTGTATTATAGCTTCCAAAATGAAAGCAAGCCCAGGGTAATTGATTTTTATACACTAAGGTCCAAAAACAAAATACAATTATGAAGCTTAAAATTCTTTTAATTATCAACACCAGAGATCAAGTAATACTATACTTTGAAGAACAATATGCTGAATTCAGAAAATTTAAAAAACCTGAAAAATATAACATTAATTTGTTGTTAAATGCTAATAAACAGAGTTTATCATAAAAGTCTACTCAAAGCTTGATATTAGGAATATTCACATAAAAAACATTATACATGAACTTAAAAAAGATATATAAACATATTTTACATTGTTAACCCTGACACACAATGAGTAACTTCAAATTCTTACACAGATTCAACAGTACTAAAAATCAGGGTTTAATACCAGCTGTATTCTTAAAAAACAAACAAATAAATCTTATAGAGATAGCAAAACACAAAGCAGTAGAAAATTATTTTCTCAGGTAAAAACAAAAGTTTTATACATACACGTACACAAAATAGACACAAATATTCAGAGGACATTAAAGATTTCCAGAAAGTTATTCTACGTGGGCACATTGTTTTAATTTATCATTCTTCTGCAACTTTTTCTGCTACTGTAGATCAACCAAGTTTATTTATTCATTATTTTCTTCCCCCAAAAATATTTGTAACAAATCAAGATGAAAACTTGTATTCCTGTTCTATCAGATAGAGATCAAAAACACATCAGTAAAAAACAACAACAATAGGAAATATATTTGCTGATAAATCAACTTAACATTTTTTCAAGATTTCTGAATTCTATCAATATAAGTTATAATACTTAAACTCATGTATTTTATAGAAATTAGACATACTTGGCTCACTAATATGTGAACGATCAGTTTGCAAGAAATATAAGTTATCTTATTTCACTGAAATAATTTAAATGCCTGCAAGTTGTTCAATATTTACCATCAAATACTTTGTCTTTCTTTCACAGCCTCGGTTAAAATCAGGTTTGATACAAACCAGTTACATACTGCACTATTCAAGCCTCAAACATCAACAAAATGTTTTGAAGGAGTAAAGATACAGAGTACAAACATCAATTTTGATAAGACAGAAGACCAAGGTTCAAGCAACAAGCAGCTGACAAGAAACACAGCCCTAACTGTGTCACTCTACCTTCTGAATTTGGTAAAAAAGTTTTCTCTGTTGTCTTGGCATGATGAAGACTTGATTTATCAAACTTCTCCACACCAGTCACCAGGTTATGGTGTACTCTTTCTTGTTTTAAATCTATATTTTTAAGGGAATACATTTTGTTTGATTATATAATATGGAAGCCATGTTTTGAATACGTCTTTTCAGCCTGTTTAGTTATTACTGAACTTCATCTATATAGGAAGTGTTATATAATTAAGGTTCTTCTGATGTACTAGTTACTCATTTTTGGTATTTATGTTGTTGTTCCGTATAATTTATAATTACTGTTCATTTCTTTATATTACTCAGAAAGATCTCAACTTATAACAAATTACTTTTTCTTTGAAACATTGCCACTTGAAATATAATTAACTTAAGCATATAGGTAAAAAAAAACAAAACACAAATATGTTCTTAAATAATTTGAACTTAATAAAAGTCTGAATAACTGTCAATATTAAATAAAGAAGAATGGTGCCTAATATAAATAATTTTTTGGATTTTTTTTTAATTTTTATTGAAAACAAGGAAAAAATAATGACTTTTTTACTAAACAACCAAAGACAGACCTCACAAATATCAAATAGTAAATTTCTCAAACCTGTACCTTGTGGGTTGGGCAGGATATTCTTTTCCTACATCCCAACAAAATAAACTATGCCTATCAAAGGGCTTATGCTTGACACAAGATAACAGTAATAAACTTTTTACTATGAATGTTTTAAAACAAACATTAATGTTTAACTATTTGTCTGTGAACATGTTCAAATATCTTCATGAAGTAGAAATGATGCATGATGTTAAAAGTTTCAATCTGTAAACAGCAGTGACATTTATGGGTTTGCTAAGAAATTAAAAATACACCAAAGCAATATGTATTACTAATATCATTTATCATGACATTCATAAAAGAACAGATAAGGAAATTACTCTTAATTAATATTTGAAAATATAGTTCATCAATCAATGCAGGAAAAAATAAAATGGTGAAATGAGCTCTTTAAAGAGTTCTGTCAACAGTAGCATGCATTACATATATATATATCCAGTTACCCCAGTAACTGTAAATATGTTACATTTTTATGTATATTTATATACCTTATTCTGCATACCTATCCATTTTTTCAAAAGCTTTGCACATTCAGTGCATTCAAAAAGTTGTTTAACAAAGAATTCACAAACAGGTATTAATTCATATGTTTATTTGCATGACTCAGCATTGTTTTATCTACTGTTTTATTTGCATCTTCATTCAGGTGTCTTTGTCTCAATAACTGTACTTACAATGCATACAGTGCACTTATCCAAGAAAATTTATCTCCATATAATTGGAGGGAGAAGAATTTGCATGCACTTTGGCTAGGTTAAACTCCTCTAGTCCAGTTGGCCAATTACAAATATTAATCTGAACAAATACACACCACTGAGTAATTACATGTCCATCTAAGAAAATGTGTCCTAATATAAAATAAATAATAATAATAGTAACAGTTTTAAATACTAATATAAAAATATTACTATTTTAGATATCTACATGATCTCAAAAAGAAAAAAAAAATCTTGTGCAATAAATAAATTTGATGTTTATCAAAATAAAAAAATATTATCAACTGCTTAAAAATGTCCAACAATTTTTAATATTTTGTGTATTATCTACAATCTTACAACACGGATATTCATAGTTAAAGACAAATATGGAACCTTGTAGCCTGAGCACTTTCAGAATACAGAGTTTGTCCCTGGTAAAGAAAAGTCCACCTTTCAAAAGTGTTAGGGATATATGTATAGGGTTTCATATTTTTGTCTTCTTCACAATTTATTGCATTATTATTGAGGGTTAATGTGTAAATATCAGCCTAAAGTTTACTTGGTTAAAATGCTAGATCTAAGATGATTAAATGGTCTTACATTGTGGAATAATACTTTAAACTGCATTCACTTTATTAAAAATATTTGATAAAACAAAATTCCAGTTCATTATACAATAAATACTATACTTAAGTTATAGAACATACAAATTTACATTCTTCCTTTCAAGTTTTCCAATGATCTGATAATCTGATTCACAGTAAATTGAATAAATAAGTGCACTTTCACACTATTTCATGAGAACCAAGCACTTTGAAAGTAATGTTTGTATTCTTTAAAAATGAGAAACTTACCTACTAGCTACTCTTCGATTTCAGTTTAATGCTTATGAGCAGTGGAAAGATGATCATTGCCATCATCCACTTCCTTAGAAGTTACTGTCATATTTGTTTCAATATTACATCAAAAACATCCTTGCAAATTTTATTTCATCAACAAGGTATAAAAGATAGAATGACAAAACTTTTTGAGAATGGTATCTGTCACAGATGTTACACTGTATGCACGTAAGCTTATAATTAATTTTGTGACCTGTCAATGTGGCAACTAACTAGTATGATCCTTGTCTTTTCTTGATATTTTGAGTATTTTTTATTCAAAAAATGAGACTAGAAAAAAGCCTAAGATGTTTTAAAGCTCAAATGAAACTATTAATATTATTAACTTTTTAGTAAGGATGAATTGATAATTGACTTGGGTCATCTCTAAGTCAATTGGTTCCAAAATTGTTCTTAGAATTGGAATTTCAACACAGTTAACTGTAAGCTAAATATTAGACCATAATTCAATCATTATGACAAAGCTATTTCTATATATATTGTGAAACACTTTTTAAAAATATTCACAGCATTTCTCATATACACACACATACAGTAAGACCCTGCTTAGCACCACCCTGCTTTAAGCTGATTCATTATAGAGCTCGTCTCCTTGACAGTTTTTTTTTTTCACAAGAGAAAAAAAAAAATTATGAAAATCCATAACTCTCTGAAAACTACTTTTTCATAGTAATGGTAGTAATGCACTAAATAATTTTTGTTTAATAAAATAATGCAACAAAGAACATAGAATAGTATCATGCAAAAAGCAGACAATGTCCCGTAACTATCACAATTTTTGTGACATTTCTAGCGATGCAATATGAACCATTAAAATGTCATCTATATCATTTCTCATGGGAAAAAAAACATTTTCTTAAAAAGCAATCTACAAATCTCTGTTCAGAAATGAATGTAATACGTCATGTTATAGATGAAAAGCTTTCCTGTCTATTGGTTATAACTAATATAGTCGTAAACATAAGAGAGAACTACATGTATTGACAAGTCCTGAAAGAGAGGATGTGACAGGAGGGCATGGCAGGATGGCTCTGTAACCAAACAAGATTTAAGGCTAATAAAAATTTGCTTTTTCCCAGTGATGATGATATTATAGCGAGTAATTTATGTTAAATTTACCAGTACCTAAATAAAGCACTTGTACATCTTTCACAGGTAAGAAACAATGCCTTCAGTTACATATTTCCATATATGCAATGTTAAAATGACCCTGTTTAGAGTTGATTCATTTAGAGCTCCGTTCTCAGGAACCCTTCCCAAGTGCTAACTGGGGCATTACTGTGTGCATGTATATGTATATATAAAAAATCCACCACCAAACCACAAGCTATGTCAACCCCATCACCAAAGTATTGTAACCAGTTAGGGTAACCTCTCACCACTTTTGTTTGGGAGAACAATTTTCTCTTCTGTGGATGTGTGTTTTAATGAGTTGCGCTTGAAGTTCCTCACTCCATACATGATGTTCTGCTGAACTTTTTCCTGAGCTACATCTTAGATTGTGTATATCGTAAGTTTAGTTATTAATTAAGCAAATATTGTATTCATAATAACACAAACAGAAATTGTAATAATATGCATAATTATACTAAAATACTTTCAGAGCCTCTTTTTTTATATTAAGGCAAAATATGTGTACTTCATTAGTACCATTATTCATAGCTTTTAATGAAGTTAAGAATTATTATTTTTTAGATAAAAATAATCAAACTGTTGGAAAACATTCTTCACAGTTTTTGTCCTTTTAGATGTATTATTTAAAATGCTAACAAAAATTAAAATGGCCTTGTTTAATAACCAATATTCTATCCTCAAAAATTAAGACTACTGAAAAAAGTTAATAAAATGAAATAGATGAGCATCTTACATACTTCTTGGGGAAAAAGAAAAAAATAATAATGGCCCAATAGTTTTCAAAATCAAAACATATACTTCAAAGGCTTAAAATTAGTGATAGAAAAATCATCTTAATTGCATATGTTTTATTTTCCTTCACATATCTTTTAATTTGTTCATTGTAGATTCAAAATAATAGGTGTGTAAAATAACATTTCAGATCTATCTATTGTCTCCCACAAGTCACTGATCAAGTGGTTTTTCATTCAATACCACAATTCATCATTTGGGCTGGACGATAAGGACAAAAGATTCTTTAAAATGCTATTTTTTTGTAATGTAATGCCAACTTTGCACATTTAAATTGAAAACTTATATAACAGTTTAAGTTCTTCTTTTCAGAAAAATTCAAATTACCTTTATTGTTGTTATACTGAAATTAGAAATGAATAGATATTTTTTTATAAAATAATGAAAAGTAAACTTTTCAAGGACTTAGACTAACTATTTCAAGCTAGTTTTTTTATTTGTTTGAACAATGTATATGTATTGAATTGTAGTTCAAAATTGTAGTTCAAACCTTTGAATATTTTTCTTTATTAAAACAAAGAAAAACTTTTATATCCAGAGCTTTCAAAGTTAATGTGAAAAATTAGTATAGTAACAATGATTCATTCTTAGTTCTTGATCAGTTTTTAGGCCATAAAATGATATAAGGTTTAAACTTAACAAACTTCTACTATTAAAAACTTGATATATAATTGTGTAGTTTTAAAATTACAGTAATCATAGGATAAACAGCAAGAAGATTACATTTGATAACTAAGATATATGCAACATAACACTTGAAGGATTTGCACATTCCATACATAATTAAAAAGCAAAGGAAGATTTGGCAAAATTTACAATTACAGTTTATAAAAATAAATGTCTTTTATCTCACATTTTTTAAATTTTAAATATATGGTCTCTTTTATAGATGTTGAGTATTATAATATGATTAGTTTACTGTCAATGACACTACAGTCTGCTACTAACTAAACTGGTATATTCAGCTTGTATATAATAAAAAGCAAACTAAATAAACATTACACCATAGATTTAGAAATATATAAAGCTTGTATAGCCATCCATTTGTCTTGTGTTGCAAAGCAATGATACCTTCAACTAAATTTCATCATATACAAGCATTGGTTCTACCATCATCATGAAGCTGAAAAGTTAAGGTCCAAGACTCACAGCTTAAATGCCATTTGACTACAAAAGGACTAATACATAAGTGCAGTTCATGAAGAACACTGATACTGGAAGCAACTCACCAGATATATTTTACAAAAAAAAAGTTATTTAATTTTTAGCTACTTATTAATGATCAATCTCCAATTATTGTTATATTACTATTGATTTTCATGTAAAATTAATTTGATACAACTCAATAACTACTTAAAAGAAAGTACTTAAAACACCATGGTTGTTTAGAGAATTGCACTGCAGAAAAAACAACCTACCACAACTAGTAGAAATATTAACCAGATAATTAAATGAAATCCAAATAATTAATATTAGAATTCAAGAAATATTACTATTAAGTTATTCTAATATCATTTTGTAATTCTGACTTTTAAAATGGTATATGTAAACGTTCTTTAGAAGTAAGGATCATTAATGCAAATGTGGTACCTTCAGCACTGGGAAGACGGACTCGCACTTGAGGCTGAGTATGCTGAAGTGTAGAACGTTGAAATCCCTCAACATTTTGCAGCAGAGAGTTGTGGACTTTCTCCTTCTCAACATCTTTATTCATGCATTAATTCATGCAGACAAAATAGAAGCATGTAAAAACTTAATGAACAACAAATCATAAAACACAGAAAATCAACATAAAATACCACCTAAACATCACACATGCAACATATTTAGAATGCAATAAAAAAAAAACATTTTAGTTACAACTAGTGATAACAAGTGTATAAAATGAAGTAGGAAGGAAGACTCACTATTCTTAATTTTTCAACTGTTAATTAGATTTAAAAACATAACATTGATCCACAAACTTTAAGCATGGAAAATAAATCTAAATATTCCAGTTATCACAAAAAACAAGCATGCAATCAGAACAATTAAACGCATCTCACACTGTTTGAAATTATGACGAAAAAAGAAAAATTCAACTTTCATAAAAGTACATGGACTCAAACACTTTTATTTTACAGATAATGAAAAAAAGAACTTTATTGTTATTGTTATTAAGAATTAAACTAGTATTCTAAGGACAATAATTCATGCCACATTTGTCACTTTTAGGTAATGGCATCCATGTTTGTCACTTCCACCCTTACACGAATTGGCTTATTTAAATTAGTCTCACACTTTATTTTTAAATTACTTCATAAATGTGAACCTGGTCTTGTCTTCAAATTCCTTATTTCTTTTAAAAATCAGTTGAAATTTCATATGGGGAGCAGTGTAGCAGTGACAGTTTAAACTGATTAACTTTTTCATTTTTAATAAAGTAGGTCAAATAATAATAAGAAAAACAGAAAACACACTACTCCAGTATACAATAACCCCTCAATAATAAAAAAAAAACTTTACACTCATTAAGTCTCTCAACATAATAAATAAACTCACAAGGTATCCATTGAGCAATTCTTAATTTTAATTGTTTAAAATCTGTACTGAGAGAACATACACTCAGTAATAGTTATTAGTATTACATTAATGCTAGATTAATTTGGTGCAATCTCACCACAAAAATTACATCTAATCAGGATATCTCTTAAACAACTTTTCTTTGCTGTTAATATAATGGAATTACAATATTCCATAAATGTTTAAAATACACATAACAATAATTCTCCAATAATATGTGTATGTGCAATTAAAAGTACATATACCAGTACATCAAAACATGTTTAAGCACATAGACCACAAAATTGGTCAAATAAACCTGAAAACTAGTAAAAAAATTAGGTATATTCTAACTAAAAAAACAGTAAAGCAACACACATGAAAGATTAACTAACACAATAATTAAATCATATGTACAAATTAATATGTAATTGTATGAAGTTTTGCTGGATACAGGCTAAATATAAGGTAATTAACATAAAAGTATCCAAATAAATCACAAAATACATGAATGGTTCAACACTCTGAACATGCAGGGTCTGACTTGCATCTTTTTCTTAAGCCATATTTGAAAATTACATTTGTAACATACATTTTTGTGAATAACAGTAAAAAACTAAATAAGTGAGGATGTGACTACAAATTAACAACATTGTCAGAGTAAAATTATTCTTCTGTATGCTTCTAACTCTGAGTAAAACCTTTATTGGGAAAAGAAATTTGTGGTCAAACTGTATAAATATACTGTTTTGAAAATACATGTGGTCAACATTTCTGGTCAAAGTAAAGGTTGTGATCTCTCCTTACTGTTTGAAGTAACTAGCTTGTTGTTATAGTATTTTTTGATGATCAAAGATATAGGAAACATTATTTGGGTGTCTTGGCTTTTAGATGGTAAGCAGACAGTTTCATTCCATCCAGCTAAATATCTGCACACCCTTATTTTTAAGTAACTGTTTAAATATGTAAAGTGACAAAAACAACAACAAAAAACCTTGATTTTAGAAACATATTAAAATTCCAGACATGTCTGAGTAACAAAACAATGTGTTTTACACTTAGTACATTATAGCAGGAACAAGTAGCAAGTTTTTGTGGAGATCTTGAATGTAGGACTTATCTATTCTGGCAATATGCCAGAGGTCACAAGCTTTGAAGCCTGTAATAGATATGTTCAGATACATAAGTTAAGCTGGCCTTTGTTCTACTTAGTTGTTACTAATAGTAATATTAAGATGCTTACATGTTAAATAAGAGGCATATTGTTGAAGTTAGGTTTAAATGTAAGACTAAGAGCACTTTCTTTAACTAATTCAAATTTTATAAGACTGCAAAAACATTACACTATCTTCTCCATATAAAATAGAAGAAAAAAAAAACAATTATAGAATATAAATCATTCTGAATGAAGATTATTCAGCCATGCATATAATAATTATCATGCAAGGAAACACTTATTTCTAATATACTTATAGAATATAGATCATAGATAAATATGAAAGATCAAAATACCAACCAGGAATTGAGTAATAGCGGACTGAACAAAATCAAACTGTGAGATTTTATGATGTTTTTAAATAGCTTTTCGTATGAAATACTTGAATAAAACTACATTCCTAAGATAAAATATAAGAACAGCTTGCTTCCAACAAAATTTACTAAATGTGATGAAAATTGGCCATTTGATCATTTCCATCATTGCAGTCTACCTAAACCTAAGAAGTTTAATAAGAAAGTATGAAGTTTCTTTTCTATCTAATATTATCAAAGCATTAGACTGGGGCAGACTTTAAGATAAAATTGTAACAACAAGAACACATCCCTGTATCAAAAGTTATAGTTTTCCTAACTGAAAATGTATTTCTGATAGGTACTTGCCTTCTCTCTCATAAATAGCTATTCTGGTTCAGTGCTGCCCTCTATATATTCAAAAAAGAATTTGCACATGCCACAAACCTTGAAACTCTTGCCCATATGGAATGACTAATTACATTGCATGTCTCGCATGCAAATCATCATGGGACAACCCTCCACCAATATGAGTGTGACATACTCTCTTGACGCATAGTCTCTAGTCAATTCTACCAAACTATTACATTGAATGTTTGCAGAAAATGGAAGTACCAGTTTTCAATGGAAAGGAAGGGCGGGAAGTATAAAAGAAGGTTAGTATCTATCAGAACTATATTTCCAGCATAGGAAAATTATAACTTCCGATACATACATTACCTCCTATCACAAAAATAGCTAGAATTCCACATTGGATAGGTGGAGGGACTGGTGCGAAGAAAAGAAAAAAGCATCCTTCGAAAGCGTCCAAAGGACAATCCACAAAATGAGATCTTCGGAGTCAAATATCATAAGTGAGAGACCACACCACTTCTAAACGAGGTATACTCTTCGCCCATTGTGGAAATATGTTGTATATATATAGGTGGAAAATCAGAGGAGCACATCCAAATGGGAAAGAACTATGGCAGGATAGTGATACAAACCATACATTATATATTAAAGTTAGGAAACTCAAGCTTGGAAAACATAAAAGTGGGTAAGATTAAAGAATGTGCCCCTAAGTGTAGAGTGGCTAGGGCACCATGGACCGTACACAGTAAGTCAACTACATCCAAAACCCAGGCCACTGGGAACCAACATCCAAGTAAGGGTAGGATGAGGATCATACCATCGGTAAGTCAACTACAATCCAAAACACAGCCACCAAGAACCAACATCTATGTGGGGGTAGGAAAGAGGATCATACCAGCAGCAAGTCAACTACAATCCAAACTCAGCCATCTGGTGGGGGTAGGAAAGAGAATCATACTGTCTTCACCTCAAGTTCATGAGACCAAAGGGAATATCATATCCTCCAACTTATGTGAGAAAGTGTTTGAAAGATCCAGGAACACAACATCCAGTATCAAAAAGATGTCTGTGTAATGTAAAACATCTTACTCAAATTTAAAATGACAGGAACTGCCCCAAGTGCAGTAACATCCTTGGAATAATAAGAACATCAAGGGATAGTAGAAGGGGAAGAACTGTAGTAATCTGCAAGTACCTCCTTTGTGACCCAGTATCTCTTATTGATTCGCTATAGTTGGTGTGCTATAAACTTGGGAAGCTATAACTGTGATTGTTACAATGCTTACTAATTGGGACACTTCAGATATTTGACCAGAAACATTTATAAATTTCTAACATTATAAGCCATTTAACTTCAGTGGATTCATATTGGACATTAGTACTTTTACGAAGATGTTATATAACTTCAGCGGTAAAAGAAACTCGACCTGTACTTGGCATGTGATCAGCGAGAACTACAGAGCTAGATAGCTCCCTATTTAGTTAATTGTACCTACGTCAACTCGAAATTAACTCGCTCATCGTGAACCCTCGATAAGATATCAAGGAAGTTCCAGGCTAGAAAGAAGACTGTATTGCTTGTAAGTTTGTGCGTTTTTTTAATATAAATCATTGTTTGTCGTAGATGTTTGAAATAACTGTTATTGTAAATTGTATTACTGTTTGTATATTAAAACATATTTGTATAAAACAAAGAAAACTGTATATCAATCTTGTTGACAAATATTATAAATTGGATACATATCAGCATTCGGTTAACTACTAAATCTAAATTACAATTTAACTCAGTGTTAGGCTATTAAAAATTGTAATATGTAACAGTCAACATGGCCTTACAGTGAGGCTTTTACTAGTTTAAGTATACTTGGACAGGCACTACTCGCCACAGAGCAGGATCCATAAAGAAAAAGAAGAACATGCCCCTGAAAACAAGAGGTATATTATCTATATATATACTAAAAGGTAACTTACACAATCACAGTCTGATGAAAGAGTGAAGAATGGCAACAGCTACCCAAAGCAGAAAGTGGAATATGAACATATGAGGTGTAGTCGCAGTGCTCGACAGATGAAGTAACTCCAACAAACGACAGGGTTGATATGCAGGGAAAAGGGAAGGTGCATGATCAAAGTAAAGACACCAGGAATTGATGATGGAAATAAGGATACAAGGAATAAAAGGCCAATCGAATCCCAATCCAAACTGTATGGGTCATGGAGGATGGGAAAAAAAATCATAGACAAAGAAGAGGAGTAGGAGAAGAAAACCGTGGGAAATTAATTCACTGGAAAGAAGCCTT